ACCATGTTTTTGTGAAATATGAATGCTATAACAAAAGAGATGAGGTTATTTATAAGAATACAATTACTTCTGACTTTGGTTCGTTCTTTAAATGAAAATAATTTGTTATAGTACATAATATGAAGGCAACAGTTATCGAACTCTATCAAATGTGAAATTAACACCGTTGGATGCCAGCCTAGTGGTACAGAAGTTAGGCGTTCTCAAGCAAGATCAAAGGTCCTGGGTTCGAATCCTGCGAGGTGCAGCAGTCGTGGATGCACACTGCTGATGAGTTTCATACAAGGACGAGACTGCTATCTTTCAGTGTTTCCAGGTTTCTAATGGTGGTCTGACAATGATTGATTGATGATTTCAGTGTGCAGAAAACATGCATTAACCGAATATTTTATTCAATCAACAAACAGAAGATATTAATATGAAATAATAGTACATCTGATTATTTACATAAGTGACATTGTTCAACTGGCTATAATAGGAATGGAAGAAGTGTATTTTTTTAATCGATCAGATAGTAAGAAATGACATAAATACAACTAGTGACTTTATTTGAACTAAGAAGGTTTAGCTCAATGTTGAATACTCTTCGAATGATCAATTTTGGAATAATGTTTGTCGTTTTCAAATTATACTCAAAATTTTTACTTGATAAATTTTACAGACTTATATGTGACATAAGTATAAGAAGAGTTGAATTGAATGAGATTTCTCAGTCGTATTTTATTGTACGTCGACTTCTTATTCATTAAAAATGACTAACAATTAATTGTATGATAAACTTTAAAAAAAAGACTAATATCACTACTTGATTTGAAAAAACAACAATAAAATTCGAAAATAACTTATACTTGATTTTATCTTAATTTAAACGTTTCAAAAACAAATGTATTCCATGTTTATAAGCTTCATATACACTGAATAAATTACTGGTCGATAGTTTTATTTCATTCCAATCCTATTTATCTGAGAACTATTGTTCAACTTACAATAAATTGAATTAGTGAACATTTCTCATGAATGTTGAATCGTGAAAGTCGTCGAACTCGAAAATTACAATAGTATTTTATTGAAAATTAATTCACATAATGATCTCAAATCAGTATGAAGTTTATTAAAAAATTATTGATTGAATATTTTTTTTTAAATTTAGTTCAGTTTATGATTTCATTTAAATTACTTGATCAATTAATATTGAACAAAAAAACAGAATTGAATCTTGATAATTTTTATATTAGAAATTCACCTCTCAATTTAAAAAAAAAATAAAATTATATACATGATTGTTTAACCAATGAAGTTTACAAGTCGCGATTTATTGATCGTTATTCTATTGATACTTCGAATGAACATTTTTCAAAAAAAAAAGAAAGAAAACGGCCAAGAACCAATTCTCTTTAATATGAACGAAAAAAGAAAACACATGAAATTCTCATGTTAGAAATAGTGAATAGGGAAAATAGTAATAAAGATAATAATGTGACATATCCGATATGATGTTGGTATAATACTGGACAATAAGGGTAGACAAGCTTGACTTGCGTATATATATATATATATATATATATATATATATATATATATATATATATGTACACAAATGTGTACATGTATGTACGTGGGTGTATGGGAGAAATGCTGGAGAAAGGGATAATATAATCTATATATATATATATATATATATATATATATATATATATTTATATATATCACATTGATTCTACACCTTCTTATCCACATTGTCATAGTTGCCAAAATAATGAATATAACAATAATAATAATAATAATAACAACCAAAAAACACAACTAGACATCAAATAATCGTTCGTGTTTTTTTTCTACTCTTTATTAATTCATTAGAACAACAACTCTCGGCGGGAATTGTGAAATTTCATTTTTTTCCCCCTTTTTGTACTATATATATATATATATGCTGACAATCTGTAAGCTGATGAAAAGAGAAATAACAACAAATAAACAGTGGTCTTGTTTGTAGTAAGAATAAAAAATGAGAAGAATTGGCGTCTAGATAAAGTCAGTTAGTGATATGAGCGCTAGTGAATGAGTGACTGCATGAATTAGATAGAATAAAAAGACTAACAAATAATAAGACTAACACTGCGTTATGTACACACACACACACACCAGTGACTGTGTGTTTAATAATTCAAAAAACTAAACCGACTTTCACTACGGCTACTACTACTACTACTATAACGACTACTAGTGTTAGTTGTTGTTGTTATTATTGTTTCTGTTAAAATAACATTAACACTGTCAACATGTAACATATTGATATTTGTTGAAAGATTTTGAAATCATGCCCTAAGGCAAGTGAATTTATACGTTGGCATAAATATATGTTCATGTTAAAGAAATTAACTTATCAATTTATGAAATAAGATTTTGAAGATAAATAAAAAGGCAATGTATTTTCTTTTATTTAAAAATAAAAAGATAGAAAATTCTTTTTTTTAATGTAGAAATCGGTGTTCATTTTTTTTAAAGGTTTTCTCAATTTTCTTATTATATGCAAAGTAATTTAAAGAAAATTGCATTTTCTTAATTTTGAATAGTTAAATTGTTTGAATAGGATTTTTGAAAAGCTCTGTTCTAATATTGTTACCATTTAGTAAGTTGTCGATAGCAGTTGGATCGTTGTATTCATGTAAGCAAATAATGTTTATGAAGAGATTGATATATTTATTCTGCATTCAAGCAATGTAAATGTTTAAACTTTTATTCACAACTCAATATTTACTAAACTACGGATAAGGGATTTAAGCATTTGATCCTACGGAGTTACATTTGAGTACTTACGGCCAGATTTGAGCTTCATATTAATGAAAGATATCAAAGTTGATTGTAATTGTGGTATGAAATCACTAGTAATAATCATTATTAAGTTGCCTAAAGGTAACTGCTGATTGTGAGGTGAAGTACAGTGTGGGTGTATTGTCGAGGAATTCAGTTCCTAAGCATTTATATTCTTCGAACTAGTCAGTTACTAATCCTGCCCACAGGTTTGCCGTCACGCATTAACCTGGTGTCACCTTGGACTGTAAGTATTCTGACCTAATGGTGCTCATCTTAGATTGCAGTGTTAATCTGGTACCTGGCCCATGTACCTAGCTTGTCATCTGCTCTGATGGAATTGTTCTGACTTTCGATTGACATAATCATATCAGGAGTATAGAACAGTGTTTGAGGAAATTACTGAATGATCGGTTCAAAGACAGTTGCGCACTATAAGTATGATTTCCACCCTCTGATTTCCCTAATTAATAAGCCAATTCAAACGAAACAACTATCTGGTGTGAAATGATTTACACTCGTTATTCAAATCATACCATTATTTAACGAATAATTAGTTCTTACTTTTACTACAGATAGTAGACAATAAATTAATATGAAATCAATTGTATTAATACATTTTTTGAAAGAAATAAGTCCTGAAATATCTGCGTTAGGCTATCACTGATCATGAACCTAGTTGACAGAATTTTTTCAACATTAAACTATCTTTTTGAAGTTAACTCTAAATTTACTGAGTTAGAATACACAATTACGTTGATAATACACCAGTCTTAATCTCAGCACGATTGAATAAATCTTCAATTTCATAATTCTGTTTATCAGAATCATTTTCATGCTAACTAATACTAGTTATTTTTTGATTGAAACTATAAAAACCACAAATAAATTCAGAATATTCAAAACTGCGAGAAAGAAATATCGAATTACATACAAAGTTATACATGTTGGATGAGTTGTTCTTGTAATGAATCAAGACGAAATACTCCATGTTATTTTCCATGCTAAATTTTTTCTACATAATTCACCTCAAATTGTATTGTTACTGCAAACTGACATTCTATACGTGCCAAATTAAGAATATAAAAAGTTATTGTTCATCCTATTTCTGTTACTGATAATTTAAATCATTTTTCCCACAAGCTTTTGTACTCAACGTGAATTATCAGCACAACATCTTTAAGACAGATTGTTTTTTCCCCTTAGCGTAATAGCTTAGTAGTGATTATTTAAAGCATGTTTATTAAAGTTCCACTTAATCAGACCGGATGATGTTTATTGAATTAATCTTATAATCGGTGAGTGTTGGAGACGTTAGATCCCCAGACCTCAACTTGATAAATGCCTTATTTTGGATTTCATGTTTGCGAACATGGGATGAGCAGTTGACATTCAGATCACATTTCCCACCAGGAAAATCCTTGGCTGTGATTGGTTACTGTGTATTTTAGTTTGCTATTTTTGTGACTATCCCAAGGACGTTTCTCTGATGTATAAATAAACACGATTTGTGTGTCTGAATTCATTGTGCTTGCTGGGTGTTTGTAGAATATACTTTCTACGCTACAATAAGACTTTTGGTTAGTCATCGGATTAGGGTAGCCTACCTGGACGCTGGTTGATTGTCTCGTTCTCGCTTATCGGCTAAGGTGAACCCGTAACAGTTTCGACCATACCTAGTGACGATCATAACAGTGAGGTTTTAGCTTACTTCTGCAATATAGTAACTAAATATGTAGTTGTGTGAACCAATTACCCATAATGTATTAATCTTTACCACTAAATGAAATATTCCGTTTAGCACAGAAGTTATTCAGTCAAAATTTATCATCACTAACTTCAGTTAATCCGATCACCTTCACTACTGAAATATAGTGATTTCGCAAAAACGTCAAAAATCCAATCATCAGTGATTGAAATCTGATCATCATCAAACTTAACTTTGCATTATAACCACTCAGCAGATTGTTAAGAAGCATTGAAAATCATCATTGACAATGATTCAGATTTTTCTTTTCAGGATAAGAATCTCAACTTTATAATGTTAAACATCACTTGTGTTTGCTGCTAATAGTTCAATAGTCAGTAATACCAAGAATAGTTATGATTTTGGTCAGATTTAAGGCTAAAACTGATTCACTTATATTTAACTTTTACAAACTGTCACCCGTGATGCATCTTCAACTTACTTGATATAGAGATTATATTCAAAACGACAGAATTTAAGGTGACATTTAATTGTGTTACTAAACAACGTGTAGTCGACATATGAACTGTATTCCCCCTATTGATCACGTGTTACCCTAGTGATCTGCCTATAAGAGAAAGTATTTATTCTTGAACTAATGAATATGTGTTACACCACATAGAATCAAAACAATTAATATTATTCAAGTTGCAAGTATCATCAAAATAAAATTTCCTATTACTATTATTGAAGATTAGATAAAGAAATTTGTTGGGGAAAAATCTCTCCCGCTGTGTTTTTAAGCACATTTTTGATTAATTTTGGCACTGACTAAACAATTAAAACAATAGTTACTATAGGAAATGAATACAATGATGTCTTAGCAGAGATGGATCAATTTTTAAAAATGGTTCAGGGTCATTAAGATATTTTTTCTTTAAAAGTTAAACTGAACCAAAAATTAATAGTGTTGAATAAATACTTTTTTGAAAAGGTCAAATTTCGCATCCATTTTTCAACAACATGATAATCAAATTGAAATGTGAATCATGTCTGAATTTGAATTTCTTACAACATGTGGTGACATTAAAACCTCTAAAATTAAGATTTAAAAAAGAAAGAAGAATTGTAGTGTTAAGGTAGTTGGTACAAGGTAGTTTTAAATTGAAGAAAATCAGTTTTATAACTCAGTGTTTGGTAGGAATCCTAAACTCAGTTGTTATTATAATATAAATCGATGTGACAAGTGATTGATGACCTATAAAGTAATTCATCCTTGGTATTTGTGTGAGAAAAATGACTTTCGTTAAGTGTTGTCAATGTAATATCCATACAACATCGAATCATTCAAAAAGTTACAGTTTACTCCCTTAAATCAATAGAGGATGATAATGAATGGTTCGTAAGAAATTCAGGGCAATCATCCATCGCTTTCAGACTTAGTTGACATGATCAAATGGCTAGAGATTAACTTGAACAAACAGAATGGCCAAAATGTTTTAACCTATTTACTTGTGCATAAAAATTTTTATCCAGTTAAAATAAATGCATATCACAGAAAAAAAATACATGTTCGCATGTTTTATTCAAGATATTACTTATGAAATAATGTGACACGTATTGTAACCAGTAACTAATTCTCATCACATTGTCAGCATTTCACAATAAATTATTGTGTGTGTGAGAGAGAGAGAAAACATCTTACAACGACATGTGCTTTTCGCTTGAACAAAATTTGAAGAGAACAATACTATCATGCATTATTGGTAGGGAAAAAAATAACACTGAAATCATAAGAAGATGAATTTTTATCCGAATTATGACGTAATAGAGTTGGATAGGGAAATACGTTTCTGTCAAAACCTGAAATCTATCTTCATATGGACGATTTTAACCTTACTATTTAGATAGAGTGATGTGATTTACGTTGTATGCTTAAAAATTGTTCTTATATTCAAATGAGCTTAGCTGGATCTACTGATTTCTCCTCTTGATAATTTAACAAATTAATGCATGGTTAGATTCATAGAAATGTATTAGGCTACTATGTATATAGTATAGTTGGTTAAACATAAATCCTGTGATTACTTAACAGCAAAACTTATCGAACGGATTAATGGCGTAGATTTGTTGAAAAAAATGACCATTTCTTTAACTTACCGTAAAAACATCAGCTACACTATTACTCCAATCCTATTTAAACAGTTCTAAGAAGATTTTCTGTACCGCAATAGTTTTATGATATTAATTAATGACAAAATTATTTTTGTCAGTACATTTATTTCATTCGTGCTTTATACGTATTAAAAAGAATGATCTCCACAACTCCAATTGAAAAATTATTTAGTGTGCTCACTAATGACTAGCTTCGTGAGGAAATCCTCTGAGTTCTAGTGAGAAGGCGTAACCATTGGAGTTCAACCCAGTCGGGTGTAAACAGTACCTACCAAAGACAAATGAGTGAGATTGCGCGAAATCCCTACATTAATCAGAGTTAAACATTAACATCGTTGAATGCATGCCCAATACTCCAGAGGTTAGGCGTTCGTACGCAAGACCGAAGGTCTTTCGCGAGTATCGAAAGACGTGGATATGCTCTGGTGATGAGTCCCATACCTGGATAGGACAACCGTCCAGTGCTTGCAGGTTTCTAATAGTAATCTAACAATGATTGATTTACTTACATGTGTAAAAACAAAGATCTCCATAACTATAACTGAAAAACATTTATTGCAGTAAATCCAATTAGAGAAATTCAGAAAGAGTTTTATAAAGTATTTAGATATTTTTAACTTATTAGCACAATTTTAAAATCATGACTAATTTATTGATTAAAAGTTATCAAGTATCAATAATTATTTCTTCTGTCTCAATAAAATTTCAAAATATGAACTGAATTTATGCATTAGAATTTCAGTAAATTGTTTTTTACCGAAATTCTATTTTTATCACTTAAAAAGAGTATTCTATTTTTAGTGAGTATTCTCGTAAATAATTCCAATATTCACAAGCAAAATCGTATAAATGTATGCATTGATTATTAGTTTTATGTGCACTGATGAAAGTACCAACCCACAAATCATTCACGATAAGGTTTTGAACTCTACTCCTTATTATTTCTGTTAGTTAGCATTTCTACTACTCTTGTTAAGCACCATAAAAAAGTTTGGTTTGAATTTTGTCTGGAAAACAAAAATATGTTCCGAGGAAAATTTGTTTTGTTCAATTGATTTCAACAAACCAAGTGTTAATAAAAGACATCAAATAAGTTTCAAACAATAATTCAATCGTATAAAGTGAAAAGATATAAAACCATAGTAAAGTTGAAATTTTCATGGATTTATTCAATCAAACAAATTACAGATTTCGTTACAAATGAAAGAGAGTTGAATTATTGCTAAAAAGTTTTAGAATAATAGTAGATCTAAATGTATTGTGCTCTATGTAAGATTTTGAGTGTGCATGCATTAGATGTCAGATACCAGTTTAAAGTAGTTAATTAGAGCGCGCTAATTTTCATCGGTTCTCTAACTAATAAAAGCTATCTTTACACCGAACAATTCTCAGAAATTGACGTTCATAAAAAATGAACAGAATATAGTTTAAAGATTAATTTTAAATTTGAAAAAACCCCACCAAATTCACCATTAAAATGTTCATGGTTTCTAACATACTGGTTTTCGAGTGCATTACTACTTACAAATAAATTGTTGAATAAGATTGACGTACAACGAAATTATAAATATTTCTAAATGTTACCTCAAATTTCATAGAAATGAACGATGTTTTAATTAAATATGTCAGTGCCAAACATATATATCGAGTTATTTAGAATATTAATTAGTGATTTAAACGAATACACTCTAGACAGATGATAGTATTTCTTTTATTTTCACAGATATTTTCATCCTGAATGAGGTATAAGAAAGGGAATAAATTTGGAGCGTGAACCTATAAACTTGAAAACTTGCTGTCCCTCTTAACTAAATGATCAAAGTAATTTTCGTTTGTTAACTATAAGTTTAATATAGGTTACAGATTTCTACTGGCTGCTTAAATGTTGTTAACAAGGGAGATTTTTTTTATTCTTTAAGTCATTTAGTATAAAATATTTTCGATTTCATAAAAATATATATATAACTATGTTTTAAAAAAGCAATTTGAATTATGGATCAGACTGGTTAGTTAGATGCAGCCGTGTTCAATTTTTTTATGTTTATACTACGATTGGGATGTATTACCTATCCTTTTAAATCTAAGCGCTACTGAGTCAAAATAACAATTAACGTGTTTAACAGGTATGTTTATTTGTGAGAATTTCTCTTGTCGACAAATGGCTACAAGTATATAAGATATGATAAATCTTAACTACAGTGTAGCATACTTTCTAAATGATATTAATAGCTGTAATATAATTACGTTAAACAATAGTAACAAGAGGGTACTGTCGAATGATTTTTTTTGGAATGCATATTTACTGATTAAAGATTGGCTATGTTATATATTTAATATTATTTAAAACAATGATAGACTGGGATTACGGTTGTAAAAAATCAAGACTTCATTGATTTAGGATAGGAAATTGAGATTAAAGAGTAAGATTAATGATAAATTTGTAAGTACTTGGCCTTTAGGAAGGAATAATAAACTTTTAGAAACTGACGTTACATTTTAATCTAATTTGATACTAACCAATAAAGTTTACGAATAGCTACTTTAATTTCAGGCTAAAATTATCTACACTTGATTAGGCAAGTAATCAAAAACAACAAACAGTTCTCGTGTCAACGCTTTTAGATTTCATTATAAGATTGAAATTATGTGACATTTTAAAAAAGTTAGACTGGGCTCATTGTTTGTAAGGCACAGATTTCAAATACATTTTACTTGATACTTATTCATATCATTTATGATGTAGTGCAGATTTAAATTTCACTAAGGATATAAATATGTAAGAAATTCTTTAAAAACAAAAGAATCTGGATTCAGTGCTCAAAGTCACACTAGTCAGCTAATTTTACTCCTCAAATATAAAGATTACATAATCACCGATTCAATCAATTCATTGATAATGTATGAATACAAGTAATGTAAATACGAAAAATGAATGAATAATTATTATTCTCTCTCAGATGATGATAGATAATAGTAGGAATTTGAATTCATGATTCATTCTTTGGTCCTATTACACTTTCATTTAGAAATTACTATATAAATATGGTTTTCTCCATTTTCATCGACATATTTATAATAAAGATCAAGAATGATAGACTACTTACTGTAATGTAGGATGATGTGAAATTGAAACTAATGAATAATAGCTCTTATCGTATCAATTACAAATGTCGGTATGTAAAGCGGAATGACTGAAAATAATCACTACGATGATCTCCTACTAATTGATACTTATAATATTCAATATCTCAATCAAATTCATCATAACTTGAATATAATATAAAATTTAAAAACTCATTAATCCATTCACAGATTTTCAAGAGTTTCAATTCTAAATAAAAGAATTTCTATCGAGTTACTCGTGAGTAGTGTCATAAAATTGAGATCATGAAAATTTCTTAAAGAACATTTTTAGACAGTTCAAGTAGTTTTGTGTTCAGCAAATTTACTGTACGTTGAAATCATTAGTCAGCCATTGTTAGATCACCATTAGAAACCTGGAAACACAGGACGACCGTCAAGTCCTGATATGGGACACATCAGCAGTGTGCATCCACAACTCCTGCTACTCACAGGACTAGAACCCAGAACCTTCTGTCTTGCTTGCGAACGCCTAAACTCTGGACCACTGGGCCGGCATCTAACGGCGTTAATGTCTAATTCTGAATAATGTAGGGATTTCGCACGAACTCACCCATTTGTCTACAAAACGGTCGTGCAATGCTTCCAGGTTTCTAATAGTGGTCTAACAATGATTGATTGGTGATTTCAAAGTGTAACAACAATGATCTCCACAACTCGAATTGGAAAAACCTACCATACTCAGCAATTTAGTTAGTTAGTTAGTCTTAAGATTGTTCTATTGTTTCGTTTTACATCATTTTATACGAACTGTTTTTTAATCTAATTATCTTTTATTTTAAAAGATAATTATCAAATCAGCTGTAACTTATTGTAAATAACAGCAACCATTAACTTACTGTTATTGATTATATTTTGACGTGGTTGTTGTCGTTTTATCTGTAACCATTTATACGGTTGCATCGATTTTATACTTGTCGTAGTAGTTGATGTTGTTTCCGTTGTCATTGTCGTTGACCTTGGGAGTGTTAATTCAGAAGTAGATGATTTATTGTAGTCTAATTTATGCATCTTTGTACTATTGCATAAATCTTGTGGATGAAGTAAGAATTGACCATTAATGCCTCTATCAATGTATGAATTACAATTTTGATTGTAACAGTTTAAGTGATTTATCATTTCTCTTGATGATAAAGTGCTTGATGATGAGCCTGATAATAAATCAGGATAAGTTTGTCGTCGTCGTACTGGTTGTTTATGAATGTCTGTTTGTAATAGACTTTCTTTAGTAGTATATTCAAAACATAATTGTTTCAAAGTGATTTTGTCATTGTCTTCTTTTGTCATATCCACTAAACTTTTTTCAAATGATTTTAATGATAATGCAGTGGAATCTGATGAAAATTTTGTTTGTGAATTTAAATAACTTGTTGATGTCATCAAGGAAGGTGAGTATAGTTGACAATTAGATAGTTCTGTTTTTACAGTATTAGGATTACACAGTACCGATTCATTGTTCAAGTGATTTTTATTAATTACACCATCATTTCCTTGTATTAATTCACTTTCATCATTGTTACACTGATCAATAAGATTGGTCAACTTCATTGTAGAAGACAGACGATACTTATCATCGATAATATCGAATTTATCCGGTATTTTCTGTGTACCATTGAAACCATACGCATAATTCGGTTGTTCAATCAACTTATTGGATTCTGTGGAACATGAGACTTTCACAGGCAATACACATGTAGTTGTTGAAATGGATAAAGGCGGTTTTAATATTTCAGAACATAATGATGACTGATAATGTATACTGTCATTGTTATTATTATTAGTTTCATGTCTAGTCAAACAATCATATTGTTGATATTCAAATTGACAATTATTTGATTTTTGAAATAATCTATTATCATCTGTCACAGTTAATAATTCATTTTCATGTTCATTGTCTAATTTAAACTGAAAAGAAAAATTCGACAAAGATTTTTTGTTATTTTGTATAGTGATGTCATCATTACCAGTGTTACTGATATTATTAGTATTATTATTATTATTACTAAAAAATAAAAAGTCACTAAATAAGTGATTTTGTTGATTTGACAAACTATTCACTTCTCTAATAGTTGAATTATCAGACCAACATGTAGATAGTAATGATGCAGAAGATATAGAATCATTAACTGTATTACCAGTGATAATAATTGATGAACTATTCGGTACACTGTTTACAGTATCATCAACTTCTGAAGAAGTTGACGATGATGATGATGATGATGCCGATGATGACAATGAGACAGGTGTAGATGATAATGATAAAGAGATGGGCAATAAATGATGATTTGTAATAGTAGTCGGTAATAATAAATTACAATCCATTCCATATTCCATACAAATAGATTCATTATTACTATTATGATTACTAGTATTATCAGTAGTATAGTATGAATGCAATAGTAATGATGTGTCATCAATGGAATGCATTGATGACTCACTACCATTGTATACATCATGATAATGTAATTCATTCATATCATAATTATTTGTATTAGTCTGTGTATCAAAGTAAACATGAAAGGGTAAATAAACACCAGTTGATGTAGTTGATAACAACGATGATGATGATGATGATGACGATGATGGATGATTATTCAATGAATATTCATTGAATGGATGATACCAATAAGCATGATTACTGCTTCTTCTTCTTCGTCTTACTCCTCCTCCTCCTCCATTCCATGGTGTGTAAGTTTGATTGCCGAAATTAGTTACTGGATAATAATCAGCTGTCAAATTCATGTCTTAAATGAATTTTGTTATTCAATAAATAAATAAATTAAAATGAAAATTCAACTGCTTTTATTTGGTTTACATAGAAATTGCCGTCCGGTAGATAATCAAATTTATACGCTGTCTCGACTAGGTTTTATCCATAGTCTCAATTGATAGTTGTACACTTTTTGTTTTGCACACATGACTATTGCCTAGTTTGCCTTATTTAAAATACACTAGGGCGATTGAAATTTCTCTCACCCTTATTTTAAAGGATGACTATTTATTTAGTGAAAGAGTGAATAGAAAAATTAGGTAGTCTAAAACGAACAACTAAAAGTAGTTGATTAGTTTAACCGTCTATCGCAAATATGTCTATTGGACTAAAAGGGAGAGAATGGAAAATTTGAAACAAGTTCAATTTGATTGGTTCATTGTTCTTCAAAAGGATAAGACATTTTAATATGCTCATAGGCAGAAAGAAAAAATTGAATTTTTTCGAAATATTAATAAAATTTCTCTTCAATTCAGATTGAAAGCAGTTCAGTACCAAAAAAAATTTATGAATTTATTTAACACGAGCTCACTTCGTTAAATTACGCACGACTTACTATTATTAAAATATGTCATGAATTAAACACTGACAGATTTTTTGCCCAAGTATGGCTAGAAACGAATTTTAACGTTGTTTTTTGTGGTTGTTAATCTTTGATATGATTTTCACCAGTCCTATTAACAGTTTCTTGTAGCGACCAAAAATGAAACTAATCTCTTAACTTAGGAATCAACTTAACTTTAAAATAAATAGTCAGTAAGCCGTACTATTTTTTAAAATTCCCTGTAAAGGTTTTGATTTAAACTATTTACTGATAAAAAAATTTTAATGAATAATTGATTTATCAAGCTGACTTCAGTTTAAAGTCAACTTCATGGAATGAATTCTCTGTGAAATTTTCACTGTAGTTGATTTTTGTGATTCTAACGAATGGTCGTGTTTCTTAACTACTGATTATGGAAATACATTTGGGAATCGATGAAGCTAATCAAATATCCTAGATTTCTTCTTCTCTCTAAGGTAGTTTCTTCAAGTGAATACAGTTTTAAAAGAATTTAGAAAAAACATTCTCAAATTACGTAAAATATGAATAATGCGCGCTTAAAGAATATATTTATAATTGAACTACACATACGTAGACCTATTAAATATAAAAAAAATATAAAAATATAAAAATTTAAATAATCGCCAATCATTTTGTTTCAAGTAGATCATGGTTGATTATGAATTGAACATAATAATAATCCAGTACTAAAAAGTGTAACACAGTAATAATTATTCAAACTCGTCAGCTTATCACCTACATTATATTCAACTATCAGTTATCATACATTAGAAGTGGAAATATTCTCTTACTGTATAAACACTTATTATAGTCATGACAAATTTTCGTTTGTTTTGTCTGTTTCAACCTGAAAAAAATATTCTATCCTCTTAAAGTGATTGAACATGCATTAATTAGATTATACGTAGATAATTTTAGTGAAATTCTTTCAAATTTGTGTTCAAAATTCTATAAAAAATAAATTTCTAATGTGAAAATTCCTTTAACTGTTTACATATTTACTAAAATGATGAGCAGCTTGAATTAGTGTCTAGCTCCGTGAAGAATTTTCCTCGAATTGTAGTAAGAAGTCGTGACCAGTGAAGTTCAACCTGTTTGGGTTTAGACAGTAACTGCCGAAGACTGTGTATGAGGTTGCGCAAGGCTGTTAATTGATCAAAGTTAGACATTAACACTATCAGATACCGGCTCAGTGGTCTAAAGGTTAGGCGTTTGCGTGCAAGACCGAAGGTCCTTGATTCAAATCCTGCGGGTAGCGGGAGTCGTGGATGTACACTGGTGATGGCCGTCCAGTGGTTCCAGGTTTCTAATGGTGGTCTAACATTGATCGATTAATGATTTCAATGAGTAATGTAATATAATGTTTTGTTGCCATTTATCACACATGTATGAACCAGTTTGTTATCGATTGGATTTTTTTGAACGTTATGTAACGCTTAAAATACGCTTTAAGGTGCCTTTCAGAAAAATGCAGATATCAGGGGTGATCTTTTCTATGAATTTCTCTCATAAACAGATGCAACACGCGGGTCACTGACTTCTAAACGATATAAATAATTTTTCTGTTTAAGAATTGTTTTATTGAGGTAATATGTTCATACAATTTCGTTCATGCAAATGGTCTGCAACCTATTAGAATCATAAATACTACAAAACACTGTTAGAAACACCCTAATTGTTGCCACAATTTCGGTCTGATCTAGAAATGAGAGAGAAATACATTAGGATTTATGTATGAAATAAATTGTGCAGTTTAGAAATAGTCAATTAGTTCTACAATTGATGATGAACACGTAAACTATAGTGGGATATTAGTTAGTACACATTTTTTTGGTTGAAATACGGGATATGTTAACATGAGATTTTATAATAATACTAAATATTTCTGGGTTTAGAATTCCCCTAACTGTAACAATATGTTAGGTGTTGAATAAAGCAATACTTATTTTAATACATAGTTTTCATAAATGTCTTAACAGTTATTAGAAATGGAATCAACAACACTCGCTCAAGTTAACTGAATACTTCCTTCATCTACAGTCAATGAATTTCTGCATTTATCAACTAAAAGCTAAGTAACTAAACTGTTAAAAGTGTTTAAGATATCTACGTGTAATATAAGCACTAGATTAAAGAGTCCTTTTCTCTTCATCACATACGTACGTTAACTCAATAAAAAGATGAAGTGTAATCACAATCTATTATATAGATGATATATTGGTACGTTTTATTTACAACTATGATAGTTGGTTACATATATACACACAAAATGAATCATTTCACAAGATCTGAGTATGAAATTGCATCTCTTCTAATAGATTAAATTCTTAGTTATTCAGCACATTCTTGAAAACAGTAAGAACTTTAACAGAAAAACAAAAAAACAACACAAGATAACTAATCGTTATAGTAGTATTTACTAATTCCTTTCCAAAATGTAGTAAAACCAAAAATTTCAACAACCCCATGTAAAATGTCAAATATTGACTTACTTTACTTATAGTGTCACTCTTGAAACTGTACATGTAACTTGTGAAATCTCGTGTTGTTTTATTTTGTTTTGATTTGATTTGATTATTTTTCACTGAAAAACACAATTGTCAATACTATTTTTTGTTTTTATCCATCCAAAATTAATCTATTTATATAGTGAGACATCATAATATTGTTAACTTATTTGCCGGTAGTCAGCTATAATAATCATAATAATCATGTGCATGTTTATTCAATTAGATTTACATGTGCAAATGATAATTATGCATTGAAATCAACATGATTTTCCAATGAAAACAGACTTTTTTTTCTTATTGACTGGAATAATTAAATAAAACTAATTGATTTTTTTCTCTCTTTCTCTCTCTTTTAAAATTATTATTATTATTATTATTATTCTATGAAATGAAAAAGTAAAATTGGAATGCCGATTGTCTGGCAGCGTGGTATAATATTTGTCAGATATTTCAATGTTGAGTAGTTCATTTTGAATTTTTTTTTCTTTTTTTTTAAACATGACATTAGCATACTTTAATTAGAAGGTAAATTGAATATATTAAATAATATTTGTATAATTTGTATTGATAACAATCATAGTGTATAACATTTAAACTATTTGTGCAGTTTCATAGTTCAATTTAAATCCAACTAACTGTTTTGAAAACACTTATAATGCAGTTGAGTATTGGCAACGAAACTTTGAGCCGTCGATTTGAATATAGTTAAAATAATGTTGTATGTCATCTCTAGTTGAGATGATGTCTTACGTCGTTGTTTAATTTATGCTTGAAACTATTACGGCTTCACCTTAGTCGATAAATGAGAACGAGACAGTGAACCAGCGTCCAGGTAGGCAGGCTACTCTGATCTGTTGACTCAAAAATACTAACGACAAGTCTTGATATAGCCAGCACACAATGAACCCACGCACACAAATCGCGTTTATCTATACATCATGGGATCGTCCTTGGAAGAGTCACAAAAATAGCACACTAAAATACACAGTAACCAATCACAGGCAAGGATTTTCCTGGTGGTAAATGCAATCTCAAGTCAGCTGATTAGCCCATGCTTGGAAACATAAAATGAAAAATTAAGGCATTGATCAAGCAAGTTCTGGGGATCTATCGTCCCCAATAATTTACGAATTAGTATGCGTGACAAAATATATGTTTTGATTAAACTCCAAGTTACTCTTAGTATATAATACAAAATCAACATATAATTATTATTGTTTCTGTTTATCAAGGAACTATAAATTAGGTTATAACACAGAGGGATAAATGATGAAAATATTATTTTAAAGAATCGTGAAATAATAGTGTATAATTCACCATGAATGAAATAAGGTTTAAGACTTATGGATGAGATAGTTTTTATCAGTCTAAAAGTATACTATGAGAAATTTAGACTTTTCATATATTATATTGTTAGAATATTGAGAAAGGTTTATTTCAACGTCTGTCTGATATGAGTTTCTGTTTACAATACTTATTTAATTTGGAAATGATGTACTAATCATATGTGAAAAGTTATTTTTAGACACCATACTATAGTGGTCATTCAATTTGTGACAATTTTGGGCTTTACTTGTGTTTAGAAAGTAATTCATGTATTTCTTTATCAAACATTGCGATATTCCAACGACTTGTTATTCCTTACTTATGAAATTTGTGATTTTCTAAAGATTAATACACATTAATGACCAAGTGTGAATTTCATGTACTCGGCTTTACGCTTTCTTAGTTAACAGTTAGTTACACTATCTCACTTTTCTAAACGGAACATACAAACTCGGTTCAAACTTTTGGGCACAAGGTCAACATTTTCAATCAAAAAACCATTTGAAATAAACTACAATGACTGAGAAAGATTTTTTAATGGTATACTTTACATTTTAAGTAGTATCTATCT